TAAAATAAATTATAAACGAGTTATAAATGTGGTTCATGTAAATAAACACGTAGCACACGTAAAATTTTCTACTAACTTATTAAAAAAAAAAATAATAAGAAGCTATATATCAAAATAAAACCAAAGCGAGTAAACCTTTGAAGGTTATCAGATGGAACTTCAGTATGAACAGCAAGAAGTAAATACAAATATTACAGAAACTTCAAGAGAACGGTATATGAGATTAAGGCGAGAAGCAGCAAGATGACGAATAGAAAGTAAATCTCCAGAAGAAACTAATACACGATTAGAAAGAAGATGAAAAACTAATGCAAAATGAAAAGAAAGAGAAACTCTAGAAGAAACTACTATGCGGTTAGAGAAAAGAAGAATAGCTGCAGCACAACGAAGAGAAAACCAGTCAGTGAGTAATAAGGCTACACCAAAAGCACGTATCTATCCATAGACTTCATATGGAGTAAATCGTCATACATTAGGTGATATGATATATGAATGTTCTAAATGCAAAGCTAAAATGTGGTTAGATGAAAAAAAAGAAAACTCATCTGCAAAATCCCTAAGTTTCACCACTTGCTGCGCAGAAGGCAAAGTTTTACTTCCTCCTCTTCAAGAACTACTACCTCTATTAGATTTGCTTCTCACTGAAACAGACCAACGTGCATGTTTATTCCAGCAAAATATTAGAATATATAATTCTGCATTAGCCTTCACATCAATAGATGCAAATATCGATCATAGTGTAACAGAAACTCAAGGAATCTATACATTTCGTATTCATGGTGAAGTATATCACAGTATAGGTGCTTTACTTCCAAATAGTGATATATACCCTCAGTTTGCGCAAATATATATCTATGATACCAACAATAAATTACAAAACAGGATGAATATAATACCTGACCTTGATCATACTATCCTAGCAGAACTTCAGCAAATGTTGCATGATGCAAACCCCTATGCTAAAATATTTTGTCAGGCCAGTGATATGTTGGTATCAGATTTTTCACTAGACTTAAAAATAATAATCAAAGAAGGCAGAACAACAGACTCTCAACATTACAATACTCTGAGTGCAGCAGAAGTTGCAATTATTATGGTTGGAAATGGACAAGAAGTCGAGCCTGTAGAATGTGATATTGTTTTAAAGTTACGTGAAGGAGAACTGTAGTAAATATCAGAAATAAATCGTACTTATATACCATTACACTATGTTCTTATGTTTCCTAGGGGTGAAGATGAATAGCATCCTTCTATTCCTGTACATGATAATCCTTCTAATATATAGCAAAGTGTTAATGATGAATTAAGTTTCAGTAATGAGGAGGAAGAAGATATAGGAAAATATGTTTCAGCAATGAATTATTTTGCATACCGCCTTCAACTTCGTAATCCTAGAGAGCTTATAATTTTGCATCAATTTGGACGACTTTTCCAGCAATGGATTGTTGACATGTATGCAGTTGTAGAACAAACACGCCTCAATTACCTTAAATTTAATCAGAAAAAAATATGTGCAGAACTATATAGTGAACTCGAAGATGCAGTAAATAAGAGAGATAGCATAGTGGAATCAGCAAATATAAGATGGCGAATAATTTTACCATCAAGCTTTACAGGTAGACCTCACTATATGCAAAAGCTCTATCAAGATAGAATGGCTATCGTTCGAATAGCTAGCAAGCCTGATATATTCATAACAAAAACTTGTAATCTCAATTGGCCAGAAATAACTAATGCACTTCTTCCAGGTCAAGCAGCACAAGACCGACCTGATTTAATTGCCCGTGTGTTTAATATGAAGCTAAAAGCAATGCTTAAGGATATATTAAAGGAAGGCATCTTTAGAAAAGTTGTAGCTTATATATACACTATTGAATTTCAAAAATGTGGACTTCCCTATGCCCACATTCTCATCACTCTTGATCAAGAGTATAAACCACGTACTACTGATGACTATGATACTATTGTATCTGCTGAGATTCCTAACAGAGATAATAATCCTGATACGTTTGATACAGTTAAAAGATCAATAATTCATGGCCCATGTAGTGCTTTTATGCTGAATGCTCCATGTATGATTAATGGAAAATATTCAAAAGGATATCCAAAACATTTTCAGGAGACTACAGTTGAGAATAAAGATGGCTATCCTGTATATAGACGGAGGAATAACAGTCAAATTATAAATATTTATAGAATTGAATTAGATAACCGTTGGATCGTCCCATATAACCTATATCTTACTACAAAATATGATTGTTATATAAATGTAGAAATTTGTTCTTCAATTTCTGTGGTAAAATATCTTTTTAAATATATCTATAAAGGACATGAT